GCAGGAATTGTAGGCTTTCGATCTTGAAGCTCGAAAAGACGACTGGCAGCACCAACTCCCTTCATGAGTTCCGAATAGAAGCTGGAGACACCAAACAGACTTGACCCAGCATAAGCTGTATACATTAAAAAGGATGTTAATTCACCGATACTTATCATACCGTTCTTAACCATAGAGCCACCAGTGTATAGTAATGCCAAGATAGTCATGTTACCGAAGAATCCACTTGAACTGAAGAATGTTGCACTGATCAATGCTTCTCGCTTTCCTAATGAGAATATCTTCTTGATTTGTTGATTGTATCTGCCAACCTCTTGTGTCTCACCAGCGAAGGCTTGACTCGTGCGAACATTTCCGAGTCTCTCTTCGGCAATTTTGGTCAGAGTTCCCAGATTCCTTTGAATTTTTCGACTAAGATTCCTGATCGCTCGACCATAAAAGAATGCACCGATTGCAACAGGTGGGAACATGAGACACAGGATGCTTGTAAGCTTTAAGCTCACCCATGCCATAGCTGTGAATCCGGCACCTCCGCTGACAATGGCTCGTAAACCATCCGAGAGATTCTGAGTAATACTCTTTCCAACAATAACCGTATCTGAGCTCAATCGAGAAATAAGATCTCCAACTCGATTGGCATCAAAGAATTCCGCATTTTGTACATAAGTTCTCCTGTATAATTGTGATCGAAGTCTGGCTACAATTCTTTCTCCAACAATTCTCAATATAATGATACGTCCATAGTTAGCAGCAGCGCCCATAGTCAGAACGCAGGCGAGAGCAATGAAGAATTGAGAAATGTCTAGCCCAAAGAGTTTTTCGCCTTCCGAAGGGTCTTTAGTAGCCAAGTCGAGAATTTTTCCAATGGAGAACGGTATTGACATGGTGATTGATGAGGATATCAGCAGGAATACAAAAGCCAGACCGAGCCATTTCGCCTCCGGTCGAGCAATTTTGAGTAATCTCCATATTTCACCAAAAGCAGCTGTATTTCCTTGTTTCTTCCCACTACTTTGTAACCTTGCGCTCAAATTGACCTGTGTCGCTTTAGAGGCTTTCTCACTTCGTGCGAAATCTCCTTGTTCATCAATATTATCTTCCTCCTCTTCCTCGCGCCTTTGTCGTTCTCGTGTGATATGATCCTGTCTATCTGAGCCCTTTGGGGAATCTTGCAAAGGCGATGCACTGTTGAAAGGTCGTAATTGAGATATTGCCGGCCGCCATGGAGATGATAACCCAATTCTTGTTTGTTGGAGAAGACGACTTGTAGATAGTTGTGGGGCTGGCTTAGACGCGGGGCTCAATGGCGATGGCGAATTTTTGAAGCCAGATAAAAATCGTTTTGCGACCAGAGAAGGTCCGGAGGGAGTCCATCTTGAAGCCGCGGGAGCTGGAATGGGTTTTGAAACTTGCTTAAAAGCTATATCACAGATCGAGGCCCCTCCCCAACCATTGCCTACTGTCAAGGTGCGCCGCATTGTTGAGTTTTGATGCACGGATTGTGTACTACATCCGCTGAATTCACCGATGAAGCTGTGAAAGATATAATCGCCGAACTGTCATTATTGCGTGGGAGTATAAAGATTATGGATGTTTCAAACGAGTTGAAAATAATCGAAGGTTGAGAGTTTTCCTTCTAAACGGGTAACCTAACATTATTTACTAGGAGCATATTTAGATTTATTACTACCTGGTAGATTTAGTTTCCGTCATCGCTTCCTTCCAATCACCTTATTTATGCAACCAATCACAACATTTATTCACGGCTTATGAAAGCTAAACGTGGGGCTAGATTTGGACGCTGTTGGCTTGAGCTCGGCTGGAATGTTTGGGCGCAAAGGATAATTGTTGTAGAACATTCGATTCAAAGAGTTATACGAAATAGATAGAAAGGAAATCTGAAAACAGCTTCAAAAATATTCAACAACACAACTCCAAGAATATTGAAGAGTTACAATCACGAATACTTTCTGAACTATCGCCAACATGCCGATAAACTATAGCAAATGGGTAAGATCATTCCATATACAATATTGGAACACATACCCCTCATCGTCGTCCATCCCCCACTTCGAAAGGCTGAAGGTTCAAGGCTGACAAAATATCAGGATGCACTCGAGTTGAGCGACGACTCAGATGTTGAAGTTCACCCCAATGTTGATAAGCGCTCTTTCATCCGAGCAAAGCAAAATCAAATTCATCAGCAGAGATATGAGAGAAAGAACAAAATAGATACCTACAAGTATGAGCGAATCGTCAACGATGGACTTCTCAAGAGGATAAACGCCCTTCTGGTTGCTTTAAAATCTTACAGTCCTCAGACTGACAAACGTCCGGATGATCTTGCATTTCAAGCATTGATGGAATCAACTGGCGAAGATGACTCTCCGCCTCCACCTCCAGAAGGGGTACATACTCATGTCAAGGAGGCACCACCAACATACTCTAAGATGATGGCGGCGCTTATTGACCAAGTTAAAACAAAGGTCGATGAGGACAAACCAGAAAATCGATTCGAGGCGTATCTCGCCGAAATCAAAGTACATCAAGAGAGGGTTGAGGACCTTCAAAAACAACTTGCGGTCGAACTGGAGACTTTAGAGAAAGAGGAGAGCAAGAAGATTACTAGTGAGAGTATACATACTGGATTTGACAGCTCCTTTGTAGCAAAGGCAGACCCAAAACCAACGGCCACAGAATCGAAGAAGCCCAAAGAGAAGGTCCAAGCTGTAGAAGTCCTGAATCCTCATGCCCTCGCCAATAAGGATGGCTCGAAGCCCGGCGAGCAATCCTCGGGAGCCGATGCAGATGTTGATGAAGACGAAGAAGAAGAAGAAGATGATGATGTAGAAGCTAGCGAGCTTGGAAAGAAATTTGCAGAAATTAAGATGGGTGACTATCGTACATGTCTTCAGTACATCTCCTCAAATCCGTCAGTGCTTGCAGAAAGAGAGACCGATGGCTTACTCGTTTTGGCATTTAACTCTGCAATCGCAAACAAGGATGACTATGCTAGGCAATGTGTTCACCAAGCTCTATTGCTTCAATACTGCAGAGCCCTAGGAAAGGATGGTGTTGGTTTGTTCTTTAAGCGTATCACTACTAAGGGTCACCAAGCCCAAAAGGTCTTCTTCGATGATGTCAACTCAACATTTGATAGAGTTCGTACTAGAGCTAGGGAAATCCAGAAGCAGAGAGCAGCTGAAGAGGGCACCGAAGGTGGAGTTGAGCAAATTCAACTTCATGCTGTTGATCCTGGTACCACTATCAACATTACTGTTCCACCTGCAACAAGCGAGGATCCGGAGGTGATTAAATCGAGAGAATTATTCGATGCATTTCCACCTGGACTGCAACGAGCTTTGGAAAGTGGTAGCTTGGATGAAGTCAATAAGGTGTTAGGCAAAATGAGCGTCGAACAAGCAGAAGAAGTTGTAGGCCAGCTCAGCGAGGTAAGTTCATATCGCAGTGTCTGTGTTCATTTGACCTGCTAACACATATCTAGGGCGGTATGTTGCAACTCGAGGAACAAATTATTGATGCCACCACCGAGGAAGGACAGGCTGCATTGAAGGAATTTGAGGAACAAGAAAGACAAAGAGCGTTGGATGAGAATTACGGTGATCCGGAATAAGTGTCTGTGAATCATGGGAAGGGGTAGATGGCGGAGGGATTAACGAAATAATGTACAAAAGAAACACGCCGTGCAATTTAAAAGAATAGCTTGAAACCAGCAATGGTATTATAACTTTCACAATAAGTAAATAGTAATCACATTTCAAAGTCCAGCATTTAGGAGCAATGTTAGGTATTATAAACAAATCTTTAATAGGTATGCGTGTCTGTGCCATTCATTTTTAACGCCCCTTTGCCCAGAAGATCCGATTAGGCAATTCTTGAACGAAATAAACAACCATCTTGTACGATCTTACAAGTCCATAGAGAGATCACCCAATCCACCCAACCAACACCCTCTAATATCCAGTAGCACCAGGCGCCTTCTCATCCTTCTTTAAGCTCATCAATAGTTCTCTGAACTTCTCCTTTCCAGTACCATTTGCACCACCTCTAGCACCCTTTCCACTCAAATCAACCAATTTCGCGATGCGCTCCCAGCTAGTTCCACCAGCAGATGTATCTTCTCGGCTTGCTAAAAACTCCTCAGCTTCACGACGAGTCTGCGCAATGGTCTTCTCTTTTTTGGTGTTGTAATTCTCGTAGAAATCATCAATGTTTTGTTGGGCAGTCTTGATAGTTTCTTGCTTCTTTTCTTCGGATCTCTCCTCACGCGCTTGAAGTTGGAGATCTCGACGTTCGCGCCATTGCTTGATGACCTCTGGCTCTTCTTCGTCGGAAACTTGGGGCTGGTAATTGGTGTATGTGCTGGTGATTTGTCCGCTTGGTGAAACATTCTAATTTTGTGAGTATTAGCTTCCCTTGAAAACGAAACTAGTGATGGGAAGATGATATACCTCATTGCGAGTATCAATGGCAGGGAAAGAACTCTCAAATTCATGAACATCCTCTCCTCCACCTCCACCCAATAAATCATCATCACCATCCTCTACAAATGCGGCATTGTCATTGCCAGTAGCAAATTGATCCGCATCGTCACCCAAAAGGGCCTTCTCACGACTCAGGAAATCATCGGCACCTCCTTCGAAAGTAGAGTCGCCTTGAGTTGTTTGCGCTGTAAATCGTGTTGTTAATAAAGCGTACACATTACTTCTCATTTAATCTCTCAAAATTGAACTTACCACCAGAGTCAAAGTCCTCAAGAGAAGGGAATCTATCGGCCATATTGAAATCTGAAGTATTGGTTATGTGTAACTCTTGATTCGAAATCGCAAGCTGTCTGTTCCCAATACGATGATACCGAATGCCAATTACACATGCGCCTAAAGCCGGGGTGCTAGTACGGAAGTTACCGACACTAAGGATTATTTGGAGAGCTTGAGAACGAACTCCAGATGTAAACAACATAAGAACTCACAATTCAACTGAGTTTTCCCTTTTCACATCAAATCGAGTAGACATAAAAGATCATCAATATCTGGAGATTATCTCTGGAAAGTTTCATCTTTTTATCAATTGTTTTTCGCCATTTAATAAGTGAAATCTGGATTGCTGCTGTATAACAAAGCCGTTCTTTTACCTTGTAAATTCAATTGAGCAAGCAGACGCCGACAAGCAAACACTTGAATACAAACAAAAACTCCTTTGAATACTCGCCATTCCTTTCCATCAAGTCCCAAGTAAGAAACATGGCCTACAACGATGATGCCGTTCTGGCAAAACTTTCCGCTTTGAACGAGACACAGGAGAGTATTGTAAGTACCGCTCTTGGATCCCAGGTAATGAATGGCCGACTAATATGATCTTCAGGTCACCGTTGCGCAATGGATTATGTTTCATAGGTAAGCAGATATTATTGATCTCGTCGACTTTTCAATGTGCTTATCCTTTGTCTAGGAGATATGCCGACCGTACTGGACAACTTTGGCTTCAAAAATTGAAGGATTCTGGAAGTAACAAGAGATTGAACCTGGTGTACCTCGCAAACGGTAAGTTATCTTCATTTTAACTCGAATTCATCCTTACCCCCCAAAATGTGCAAACATATGGTACAATTATCTAAATCATGTCTAATGATTATGTCTTTCACAGAAGTCGCACAACAATCCAAAGCTCGGCGCAAGGATGATTTTCTCATTGCATTTTCTCCCGTAATCGCAGAGGCTACAGCTACAGCTTATAAGGGAGCTACAAGTGATGTCCAAAATAAGTTGAAGAGAGTCGTGGAAGTTTGGAGACAGAGACAGATTTTCGAAATTCCTATACAAGAGGCGGTCGAGGCTCGAATCGAGGGTAGGTCAGTCTGCGGATTTGAAATAGCTTATACTGATAATCGCAGAACTAGAGAAATCAAGATCCTCAAACAGGAAAGGATTGGGCGGATCCCTTTTCTCCAACAATTCATCGTCGGCGCCAAGCGAACTTCAACCTCTTGTAGGACCCCAGCAAACAATATCCAAATTGGTACTTTCTACAAAGACTTCTACGAATTCGGCGAACAATGATTACGAAAAGCTCACAAATCCAAATACGCCAACTCCGTCTGCGCCAGTCTATGCTGCTCGACTCAATGGCCTTCTCAAGACTTTGGCCAACGCCGAAGGAGCTGTGGCTGAAGTTATTAAATCGCGTAACTTGCTGATCGAAGGACTGGAGAAATTGCTAGAGACAAATCGTAATGCCCTAACAGAAGAAGAGGCTCAGCTTAATCTGCTCTCCTCGCGACGTAACGAAATCGACATTAAAAAGAGGGATGTGGAAGACAGTATTATGCAGGGTCTCGCAAACAGCAGCGAGAGCACACCCGCAGATGGCAGTCCAGGAAACCAAATGGGTACTCCTAAATCCGAACCTGATCGTCCGGAAGTTGAACCTCTGTCACCTCCATTGCGCCCCATGAAGGAAGAAACCACTCAACAAGAGTCACTTCCAGACTTTGACCTCAATTCCTCGGCGGCTGCTACTAATGGTTCGATTTACACATCCCAATCTATGTCCATGTCACCAACTTCCGGTTTGGATTTGCTAAGTAGTGTTTCTACTAGTTATGGACGCAGCAACTCGATGAGTAGCATTAAGAAGAGGAAATTGAATGATGATTTTCCGGAGATGGGAGGGGATGCTATGGAGGGGTTGGATGCGGATGTTGCCGAAATGTTGAGACAGGATAGTGCGGGTGCTTGAGACGGTAAGAAAGGAAGGGGGATTCAGGATTGGAAATAAATGTCTATTCCAGGGTTGGTGATTGCGAGCGAAGTTGGGGATGTAGGATATGTACTGATATAATGAAGTGGGGAGGAGCTTTTATCGCATCGGAGAACGAAGGACGCAAAATTCAAGATTGTCGAATATACCATGGTTTGCGGATACAATTGGCAGTAGTGGTAATGGGATAATTTGAAATGAATTAAAAATTGTACATGTTTAAATTAACAGGTGTGCCAGAGACACGAGGGAGATATTGCATTTTGTGATGTGACTTGAAATAAATTTGTGAATTTTTACTATACGAATCTTCAAGATGACATGATTTTATATGTCTGCTATGATTACCCGAACGAGTATGGGTATCTAAGGTTTTGTTGAAAGATAGTTGATACTGCTCACTCGATGTTTACGTAGATTGTTGTATAATGCGCTGAGGATGTACTGGCCGTCATGCCCGGTTCTATGATCATTGGTTAATCTTGCTAAGTCGTGTGGATTTCGACCGTTGAGTTGCTTCGAGAACTGTGGACCTGTGATAGATTATGGATGTCTTGAAACCTATAAATGCTCCTACAATCCTGAAGAGCGTTGAAATTTGAAAGACTTGAATGGATGAAGAGTGGATGAAGAGTGGATGAAGAGTGGATCTTATATGTATTTACTTGGAGGCCATAGGTGAGTTTTGGAGGTTAAAGGGAAGGAGAGGAAGAGGGGAAGAGGGGGAGAAGTAGATGATAAACCAAGGGGTTGATAAAATTGTGCGGGCGAAGGCATTGATGAATCCATGGCGGCGAATGGAAATGGATATGGCTTGTGCGTTGTCGGCATTTTCGTCGAAAAATAGCACTTTCGGTGGACAGACGCGAAGTTGGAGATTTTCTTGAAATGTAACGAGTAAGGGGTTTTGAGAATATGTGCGGGAAATGGAGGGTAGTAGGAGAGCGCATATCGATGGTGAGGAAGTGAGAGGTGGAGAAGTGGGATTCTTATGAAGTAAGTAAGAAGAGATACCATGCTGATGGGTTCTCATGGTTTCTCGACGATTGATCGAGACATTTAATCCGTGATTGTGTTAATAGGATGGTACCCCTGGACTATAACCAAAGCAAAGGACGAATTTGAGGAGTTGAGATGTCAGCGAGTATGATGAGTATAGGGGGTCTGTTGTGTCAAATGTGTATAGTAACCCTTGTGCTAAGAATGTGGTGAGAGTAAAGTAGAGGATGAATGATCATTACCTTAAATGCTGGATTGAGATTATTTGAAGGGACCTCGATGACTTGATTGATATCGATGCGCGAACACTAAAAGCAACTGGATGAAGGGTATGGTGGCTCGTGCATAAAGGAGAGTGAAGAAGGGAAGCGAGATTAAGAAAAGTGAAAGGAATTTGTCTGGTCGAGACATTACGAAATCCGAGACGCAAAAGATAATTCTATTTCAATTATCCAACTCGAGTTTGAGATCATAAGAAGTTCGTTCACAGTGTAATTCAATCACCGGAGATGAAGATCGATTGATAGAGGAAGAATCAGATTTAATTTCATCTTCGTATCAACCTCGAACGGCGTGACTCTCTATAAGATTTTCTAGCTCTCCTTCCAACTTCTTCCACGAAACCCATATATAAGAGACAGCACGTGGCAACGCAATGGCAGTGATGATCCACGAAGAAATGTACAAGCTCTTCTCGCAATCTTGTGTAAGTGACGTGGGCAGAAAGAGGATCGGAATGCAGACCATGGCATGCATGAAACTAATGGTTATGTCCGTTAGCATTAGAACTTGATAGGGAATTCATCCGGGCATATACAATCTGAATGCAAACAGCCAAAATATAACTGAAATGATTTGCTGTATAAGCAAAATTGTAATCAGTGACCGCCAAAAATAAGGCTTGACGGCCCCCAGGCCTACACCACCCAACATTGTTAAGCACTCCACCGGCCCGTCTATGTAGAGTTGAGCCATCAGTTCACGGCCAGCGGCGACATAGGTGAGAATTCGGATGGTAATTGGTAAATCGGTACGTTGTAGTTGTGGCGCCACGCGCGCTAGGAGATCGTGAATGGTAAGGAGCGGCTTGTTTTGTTCATTCATGTTCACAAGATAAACAGACTCGGGGTAGTAAATAGGTTCTTTTTGATATAATTTGTAGGTGAAGAAAATGAGGATGAGGATGAGGATGATAACTAGAACGAAGATAAATAACGATTGAAATGTGTATGATGTTATTTGTGATTTTTAAACAATGGTAAATGGTAATGGTGTGGTAAGGGTAACATCTGAGGAGCCAAAAGGAGATTATTAGTACATTCTGAAAAGAATCTTTACTTAGCTTGTTGTTAGCTTAGCTTAGATCTATGTTCTAAAGCCAGCGAGAAAATCATGACATCAATATTTTTGCGAATATTATTCATATAGTTAAAAGGGGTATTGTTTCTCTCTCGCTGTAATAGATTATACAATCTAGGACTTCTTGAATCTTCAGGAAGGGGTCTGGAAGTACTGAGAAAGTTCTTTTCTGTATTTATATTCCAAAGAACAAGGTCTCTGAAAACGATCTGTGTAATTACATCAGATTACTATGTATAGTGTACAATCTAATGTATCTAGCTTCTGCGCTGTTCTAATAGTAGCGTGAAACTAATTATCAGGTCATGTGATTCAATGATTGAACTCAGGTTGAATTCAAGTGCAGCACTGTGTATGAGCAGCGAAGACATTGACCGAACAGTCTCTCCCTTACTAGAAAGAATATAACCGCTCGTCATCATCGACCTTCCCACGCAAAGAGATTTTTGAAATGAATCAATAACAATGATGAAAATATTGAACCATTTCGACGATGCGACATGAGGTCAGGCACGCTCAGAACCATGTGTCGCCAATGTTAAACTTGAATATCTCACACACTTGTGATGTAGGACTAAGTGTCGTTGTGAAGAAGCGTCATTTTTCCACAATATGAGATAATTAGACGAAAATTGAAGAGGAAACTTCACAAAAATCTTAAAATGTGAAATGACTTCTTGCACAATGATTCTTCTGACGTGGAACTGAGTAGGTACATATATCATTGAGGCCAGTAAGGTGTTGCATTTCCATGGGGTTTGTCGCCAAATATTCGAGGTATAATGAAATTGATCTATCCTTTGACTTCAATGTACACCGCCACGCTCCTCGAGATCCCAAGCATCCACATACTCTATCGTTTCACTCGCAACCTCTATCCCTTTCCGAACCAAGTCTTGTGTCCCAAAACCATTCTCGACATCATGTACATAGATCCTATCGTTCCAATATCAGTCAAACCGTTCCTGCCTCTTATACAATGCTATACATACCGGCGAAACCTCCCCAAAGAGCGACGTAGTATGGGTAGAGCATGATCTTGCTGCGAGAAGTCTGCATAACTTATCAGAATTGTCCTTCATAATAGCCGTGGGTATTTTCTACCCCCCACCCCCATGCCTGGGAATAGAGAGCAATTTACGTACTTGGTTCCATTGACGAATGTGCTTCTTAGCACCTTCTTGGAAGAGCGCCTGGTAGTAAGGAACGCGGTTCTCGCGGAGTTTGTAGCTATTGGGTTGAAAGAGTCAGCAAATGGTCTTGCAACAATTTCTCGCAGGTTCGGTGAAGGGTGGAGTCGGGTGTAGCCATGATCTCCGCAACCTCTCAACATATACCACGGTCCTGTGAAGACTTAGAATTGTGACTTACCCAGCCATTGTGTCTGTATTCGAGGCGTTACTGCGGTTTGTTTGGGGTATTCGAGGAAGTGGTTCGATGTTGAATTCGCAGGAAGCTCGGATTCAAAGCCGCGCTAGTGTTTATGACTAAGCATTTTCAACTTCCAAAGCAGCCCCAAAATATTTTGAAGAAAGACAATGCTCGATTAACTTGTAAGCTTTAATAAAAAGCATGCGATACTTTCTATGGCAGTGATGGATCTGTATAAGTATCTGACCGAAATCTCAAGGGACGGCGCATCATAATGCGCCCTGCTTTACAACGACACATCTCTAGATATTCATCATTGAATCTCCTTCGATATCTAGTACACGCATCGAATACCCCGCCGTCCGCCAACATTCAATATGATTGTGCTGGTAAGAGATGCAATCGAAACTACGCAAGTTTCAGCATTGGGCTTGAGGCTGCCAACCAGTATGACTCGCAACATGATAGCCTTGTTACCGCCCAACCAGCCGTACGGCATGTGGTTTCGAAAAGAGCTCCGAATGGCTCCCACACAGTCATGCCTCATGCCGACACGAAATCGATGACTACCAAAAATTACAATAGATGGAAAAATCACTTCACACCTGGCGAACTTGAATATGAATCGCGTGTATCCGAAAGGGCTCGGGAAGGCGCACTACGATTAGTCGATAACCCGATTTATGAGAAGGATATTGAACTCTGGGCGGTGCTCTTAGTATATAGGCAAAGAATCTATGGTGATGAGGGAGTGAGGATGATTTGGGAAGCAATAGTCACCAGAAGCATCCAATTGCCTGTCGAGGGTTTGGCATCTTGGACAATGTGGAGGGCCTTTTTAGATTTAGGCCTAGAAGATAAAGCTGTGCTCGAAAGCATTATTCGATATGCGGATGGTCTACTGCAACAAACCGGTCAACGTTGGAATGGACTTTACACGAGGCTCATGTATCATCTTTTAATGAATCACAGGGGCGCCGAAGCATTTCAATGGCATCGAAGATTGATGGTGCATCATTCACCAGAGGCTAAAGCTTTCGAGAAATTATGTTACAGAGTTATTACTCTCGGGGGAGATATCGAAGCTCTGCGGAAGATTTATGAAGGAAGTAGATTTCATGTATCATATTCCAGCATCTTGGTACCATTATATCGTCGAGAAGAATATTCGTCTGCATACAAATGGCACTTCTCGCTTTTTCAGAAAAAAGACTTTCCTAAAACTGCAAGACCTACAGAAGATCTGATTCGACTGTTGACAAGATTCAGAAGCCCGTTGGGTCTTCGGGTCGCCCGCAGCTTAGTACATGCAGGAATATCCATACCTCCTGGTCTAGAGCATGAGCTTAAAGACACTCAAAGTATATCTAGAGAGATGATGAATCTTATTCATGGTGAAGTCTTTCATATTAAACCTAAGAAATATGATGATGAGTTGGGAGCTCGATGGCTTGCTACAACTTGGGTGCCATTAGATGTATCCATACAATCCATTCACGCACTGGGAGTTAAAGAAATCGGGCCCCTATCTTTTCAATCTATTGCTCTGCGGGATCCGGATGCCAAAGCTATCATTAAGAGGCTCGATCAGCTCGCAGATCTTGGTATATCTCCTGGTCAGTCGAAGTTTGTCAAGGCCGTGGAATTTTTTGCGAGAGAGGGAAATCAAGAATATGTAAATGCATTGGTAAACAGCGACCAGCATCCTGCAGCACTTGATGATTGGATACTCCAAGAGAAACTCTTGGCTTCGTACGCAGCGAAAGAACAATTAAACGAGTTCCGACAAGCGATGGCCATACGATTAGTCGGGAGTAGAACTCCTGATTTTGACGTTTACAACATACACCTTAGGATTTGCGTTATCAGACACCAATGGAATGCTGTACTGAAGACATTATCCGATATGCGGATAAATCATATACCGGTGAAACCGACCTCGATATCCTGTATTCTGCGGCAACTCTTGCGACCACGTCGGCGCGGTCGGCGACCAGTGATGGATTCTAAGCACAATAATTTTGATGATGTAACTATGGCCACCAAGATTCTGACAGGTATCATGACATCTGGCTCATCAGTTCCAGTACATCATTGGACCGAAATCATTCGGCGACTAGGGATGCTTGGCCGCGAAAAAGAATTACACAATTTGTGCCTGTTTCTAGCTTCCTGGTATGGCTCCAAAAATCATGATCTTCTACCTGGTGCAAACCATCTACGAATTCGAGATCGCACGCAACCTCCGGACGATCTAGTTCCTAAGTGGCACCATCAACATCCTCTCAAGTGTCTCTTTCCACCCAGTCTGCAAAGAGCTATTGTGGAATGGGGTTTTCAACGAGCGTTAGCGAGCCCGTCGCCAAAGGTTCCAGGCTTTGTCCGCGCGAGTAATAAAGTAACATACAATATCACGAATGGGATTGTACTTTTGCGAGAACTCCACCATATGGGCGTAGAGATCGAACCACATGCGATCAGAAGAGCAGTTGTTAATCGTCTGATCATTCTCTATGGGCCGGGAAGATCCACCGTTAAAGCGAATCGACAAGCGCGAATTCTGAATCCCCTAAGCTTGGAAGAGGCAATAGCTGAGATTGATAATTGTCTACCAGGGACAAAAATGTTCCCTTATCCAGATGCGGCGAAACATATTCGACACCAAGCTAACATGAGATTTTTAAGGATTAGACGTTGGCGCTTGAAGCGAGATGCTAGATTGCGATTGACAGGAAGGTTTTGATTCTAGGGCTGGGATCTGTACGAAAGTTGTATCATATTTTGAATTGATGTCAGGTTTCATATTTATGCAGTTTTGATATCCTATGGTCTTTCAATCCCTCAAATCATATCAATTTTACAAAGCAATTGTTTCTCAAGTTATCTCTCAGACAGTGTTCCTCTTTAAACTAACGTACCATCTGTCCGGGGAACAAGAGGTATCGGATGGAAGAAATCACATGCCTAACGCGGTATCCCCAGGGTTAGCCACTAGTCATATGAAACGTTCCATTCCATTCAGAATCGGACGAGAAGGACAATCGACAAACGCGATTTGATCAAATGCTAATGAGACGGTATCAATCGTTCATGGCCATGAGGAAAAGGCAAAGACGCCTGCAGTGCGGTCTCTCACTTTCTAAATAATACGGGAGCAGTTGCCTAGATGCATCTCATGTGAGTTGAAATTGGGATTTGGGAAAGAACAAGTGATACAAAATTCCTAAGCGATTTTCCCTTTTTGTGATATTTCACATATTCAGAAGCATGCGAGCAAACCTTTCTGATGGAGATAATGTCTTCTCCGTATATGTATACAATAATGAAGAAGTCTATCATCAGTGTGAGTCTAATTTGAGGATAGTGACTAACTTTCTACATGCCGATGTTTGTATTGCTACTGGTGATGAAGGTCTGATGACGATGTTTCCACAAACGCCGATTTTTTGAAATCGGTGTTTGAAGCCCTGAGTCATGTATATAGATATATGTGTTCGTTCATCTTTTTCCTATATAAGGATAATAGTTTTGCGCTCATAATTGTAAAGATTCCTATTCATATCCCTCTTGGTTTTGAAAACAACTCAAATCGAAGGAATCAGATAAAGTCTACAAAACAACAAGACAACATACCGCATCACTATGTCGAACAGTGCGCTCCCAAGCATACCTCCGCCCTATCTCCCCGGAGATCACGCACAATGGGGTACCAACGACCGTTACTTATACGTCATAATACAAACGAACCGAATGGAAGGCACTCAGGGGTTTGACTACATGGTTCAGCCTCCTCCATTCTCGACTAGTGAAATGGTGACGAGCAGGGCTAGGGAGGAAGATTTGAGGGTTTTTGCTAGGAATAGATCAGTTTCGGGAGGTTAGGCTGTTTGAAATTTAGATGTTTGTGTTGAGTTGGGAGATTCTAGCGATGCTTTAAAAGGGGTTCTCGACAGTGGCGTGGGGTTATTTGTATGTAGTTGACATTCTGATGAACCTCTCGAAATCACCAATGTTCTTCTTTGATCTCAGTATGATGCTTCCATCTGCTCAGCTACACTCAAGTCGTGACGTACCAAAATGAAAAATTGATCTTGCTGAAATGAATAAGAAATCAATAATATATCATTTCGAGATTGAATCGATTATCAGTTATTGACTTTGGTTCTTTAGATTCACCATTCCAATTTGAACAAACTTGATTCATTATTTACTCTAAGATATCAATTCATATTATGGTATATGGGAGAATGTGCCAAAACTCAAGAGAGCCTTATCGATGCTTTGCTATCCGACTTAGCTGTCCCTCTTCAACCTTCTTCACTTCCCCATTCTCTAACTTTATCATATAATAACACCTAATATTGAAATTTCCCCGCCCTTCCTCAGGACAAATTTCCTCTCTTATGCGCTCCGATCTCACAGTAACGGTAATGAATTCAGCATTCTCAGTCAAAGCACCAATGCTCGAATGAATTTCCGATGTCGAGTCTCGGTTCGTAGTAACGTTGCTAATTTCTGGCGCAGTTTGAATGTCAGATGTGGGTGCTGTTGATATTTCTCCTTTTCCGGTCCAATAAACACGAGTGCCTTTCCTGAAAATTACTTTTGTAGGATCCTGAAGTTCGTTAGTTGAGATTTCGCGAGTGAGTAGGGGGTAAGCGAACGGATGGGAGAATGGATGTGTCATCAGAGCAATTAGAACAGGAATTGCCCATCAGGGGCTTTTGGCTAGAGTTTGGAATCATGGCGAGAGATATCGACTGTGATATTTGTGATGTAATTAGAATTGAAATTATCTGTGGTATTTTGAGATGGTAAAATTTGACTAGTATTTATTTGAAATAAATAAATGTTGATCTTCTGTTATGGCACCTTCTCGTCTACACGTAAGTTCTGACTTATATAACTGAAGATTGTTACGCTCTTGAGTAGTTTAGATTCACTATGTCTGCAAGACGCATAATTAGCAACTATTCACAAACTGACAACTCTGAATCACTAGCTGGAAGCGCAAACATACAAGTAATTCACCTCCAAAATTGCCCAGGAACACTCATACTTCGTCAAAGCAGGACTTTTCAAGAAAGTTGAGCCTATATTTGGGGTGTCTTAATGGCAATCACAGTCC